GAGGCATCCGCTAGACCTTCACGCTTCCGGACTCTCCACAGCAAAATGGGATTGCTGAGCGCCGCATTGGCATGGTCATGGACGTCGCCCGTACGTCCATGATGCATGCGGCTGCCCCCCATTTTCTGTGGCCGTTTGCGGTTCGGTACGCGGCGCATCAGATCAACCTTCAGCCCAGGGTCTCCATGCCGGAGACCTCCCCAGCTTTGCTGTGGACGGGGAAGGTTGGCGATGCGTCTGCGTTCCGTGTCTGGGGATCTCGGGCGTTTGTCCGCGACTTGTCTGCGGACAAGCTGTCCCCTCGTGCTGCTCCTTGCGTCTTCCTGGGTTTCCCCCCTGACGCCCCAGGGTGGCAGTTCTACCACCCCACCTCTCGCCGTGTTCTGTCCTCCCAGGACGTCACGTTCGACGAGTCGGTCCCCTACTACCGCCTCTTCCCCTACCGCACTCCGTCCCTCCCCCCGCCACCGCTCTTCCTTGTACCAGGTCCCCCCCCGGTAGACCCCCTCCCCCCTCAGGGTCCTGCCCCTTCAGGTGTGTCCCAGGTAGACGCTGTTGAGCCTGTCGAGGTCGCTGGTGACTCTGGTGCTGCTGAGGGTGCTGAGCCTGGGGGTGCTGACTCTAGGGGTGCTGAGCGTGTGGGTGCTGCGCCTGGGGGTGCTGAGCCTGGGGGTACTGAGCCTGGGGGTGCTGAGTCTGGGGGTACTACGACTGGGGGTGCTGAGCCTGGGGGTACTACGCCTGGGGGTGCTGAGCCTGGGGGTGCTGCGTCTGGGGGTGCTGAGCCTGGGGGTACTACGCCTGGAGGTGCTGAGCCTGGGGGTGCTACGCCTGGTGGTGCTGTGCCTGGCGGTTCACCGGGTGCTCCCTCTCGCCGAGAGCCACTCTCTCCCCAGGAGCTGCGTGAGTGGTTTGCCCGGCGCATGAGGCGAGCTGCTGGAGCTGCTGGAGCTGGAGGTGCTGCGGGTACTGGAGGTTCTGTTGCTTCTGAGGGAGCTGGTGCCACGGGTCCCGGAGGTGCTCGTACTGGGAGTTCTGGAGCTGCTGGACCTGCGGGTACTTCTGGAGCTGGAGTTGCTGCGGGTGTTGGCGCGGAGGCTACTGCTGTCGGTCCTGGAGGCAGTCCTGCTGGGGGTACTACTGGTGCTGCTGGGGGTTCTGGAGCTGGAGCTGCTACTGGTGCTGGTGCTGCCACAGGGGGTGCTGGTGCTGTCCCTACTGTGTCTGGAGTCGCCGCGCGGCCTCGGCCGTACTTCGTTCCGCTCCTTCAGCAGGTTCTTGGTCTCCCGTCTTCTACTGGTCCTCCTCCTCCCTTAGAGTGTCCACAGCCTGTCCCGTCGCAGTTACAGTTACAGCCGGCCTCCCCTCTGCCTGCTCCGTCTCCCTACACTGGTCCTACTGGAGGTCTTGCTGAGCGTCGTGAGCCTGCGTCTCGCCCTGCGTCGCCTGTCCGTGCTGCTCGCACTAGTGGTCGTGGTTCGCGTCAGCGTCCTCCTCCTGTCCCTGGCACGCACCGGATGTCTCTGCGTCCGTCCACTGCTCCTCTGCGTGCCCCTTTGCCTTCTCCTCCTGAGTCTTCTCTTCCTGCTCTTGCCGACCCGGAGTCGGACTCTCTTCGTGCTGCCAGTCCTACTGTCACGCGTCTCCTTGCTACTGTTGTCACTGACCCTTCCTTTGAGTCCACTGCTGCGTCTGCCCTAGTTGCTGAGCTCGTCGACTTTGCTGCTCGCTGTCGCCTAGACTACGTCGCCAGTCTTGTTGCTGAGTCTGAGTCTGTCTGTCCTCCGTCCGTCGGGGGTGAGTGTGCCCTTGGCACGGACGTCCTTGAGGACAGGCAGGAGGAGTTCCAGTGCTTGGCCGCTGCTTCACCTCATCTCGTGTCCGTACTGCTTACCCCTGAGGGAGACCCGGATGCACTTGACATCCCGACTCCGCGCTCTTACGCGGAGGCGATAGAGGGTCCCTACTCCTCTCAGTGGCAGGCAGCTATGGACGCAGAGATGGCTTCCTGGAAGTCCACAGGCACCTACGTTGACGCTGTTCCCCCTCCTGGGGCGAACATCGTCAGTGGCATGTGGATTTTCAGGGTGAAGCGACCGCCGGGTTCTCCGCCTGTCTTCAAGGCGCGTTACGTGGCTCGTGGCTTCAGTCAGCGGCAGGGAGTTGACTACTTTCAGACCTTCTCTCCCACCCCGAAGATGACCACTCTTCGGGTACTGCTGCACGTAGCTGCTCACCGTGACTACGAGCTACACTCTCTTGACTTCAGCACTGCTTTCTTGCAGGGCAGCCTGCACGAGGAGATCTGGCTGCGTCGCCCACCTGGCTTCACTGGGTCTTTTCCTCCTGGCACCCAGTGGAGCCTACGGCGGCCAGTCTACGGTCTCCGCCAGGCACCGCGTGAGTGGCACGACACACTGAGGACTACACTTGCGGCTCTTGGGTTTGCTCCCTCTACTGCCGACCCGTCGCTGTTTCTGCGCACCGACACTTCTTTGCCGCCGTTCTACATCCTCGTGTACGTCGACGACTTGGTCTTTGCCACAGCTGACACTGCTGGACTAGCCCACGTGAAGTCCGAGCTGCAGAAGAGACACACGTGCACTGACCTGGGTGAACTGCGCAGCTACCTTGGCTTGCAGATCACTCGGGACAGAGCACGCCGCACCATTACCCTGACTCAGTCACACATGGTGCAGCAGGTCCTTCAGCGCTTCGGCTTCACGTACTCCTCGCCTCAGGCCACTCCTCTGCCTACTCGCCACTCGCTCTCAGCTCTGCCTTCGGATGAGTCCGTAGAGTCGAGTGGCCCGTACCCAGAGCTTGTTGGCTGCCTCATGTACCTGATGACCTGCACACGACCTGACCTTGCATACCCTCTTAGCATTCTTGCACGCTATGTTGCTCCTGGGAGACACAGACCGGAGCACATGACTGCAGCGAAGAGGGTGTTGCGCTACTTGTGCAGTACGTCGGGCATGGGGCTTGTGCTTGGAGGGGAGAGTCCAGTGGTCCTTACTGGGCACGCAGACGCTTCTTGGGCTGACGACCAGGCTACGCAGCGGTCGTCACAGGGTTACACCTTCAGCCTTGGTTCCGGCTCTGTTTCGTGGCGGGCTACTCGCTCGTCTTCTGTTCTCGGCTCCAGTTGTGAGGCTGAGATCTACGCAGGAGCCATGGCTGCACAGGAGCTTCGCTGGCTCACCTACCTGCTGACTGACCTCGGAGAGTTGCCTCGTTCTCCTCCAGTGCTGTACGTAGACAACAAGGCCATGCTGGCCTTGTGTCGGGAGCAGCGACTGGAGCACAGAACGAAGCACATTGCTCTCCGCTACTTTCTTGCTCGTGAGCTGCAGCAGCGTGGTCAGCTGCGTCTTGCGTACGTGGCCTCTGAGGCCAACACTGCTGATATCTTCACCAAGGCACTTGCGCCTTGTGACCATCAGCGCTTCTGTACTCAGCTGGGCCTTGTGCCTACCTTGCCTCACTTGCTCACCTCTTGACCTTGCTTGTACTGTTACATATATATATACCTGCTCTTGTTTGTCTAGCCTTTTTATATATATGTGTACTCCTGCTTGTGAACTGGCCTTGTGGCCTTGAACTTGTGCTCGGAATGTGTGGTGACTTTGTGATCCACCCTGAGCTTGTTTTTGCTTTGCTTTGCTTGACTGGTCTTGTGACCCCTTGTTCTCCCCCACTTTGCCTATGGGGGTGTGTCAGATTTATATGACATAGCTACTGTAGGCTAGAGTGGGGTAGCACATATGGGGTACAGTTTTCTAGGGTTTGCTTCTTGTACCCAACTTTCACTTAGTCATTCTCATTCCTGTTTTTCTTGATTCACACGGAGGAATATTTGTTAGGCGCCAAACGGGGCGCGGTAAGAACTACGAAGATACAAAATCGAAAACAAAACTGATTATATCTCATATTTCTTCCTTTTTTGTGCTGCGTCAGCTGTTACACAGTGTTTTGAGTGGTGCTACCAGACAAACTTGCGCAGCAGAACTAGGGTATCGACGGTTTTGCATACCATTGGATAGGGTTACCAGACTAAACTGCATGTCTATGATGTTGGCCCCAATATCGGCGGCATTGGGAAGCCGACTTCGTGACTGATTTCTCGTGATTGGTCATTATGGGGCTTCCTCCGTCAGTAACCACTGACAAGGAGTCTGGATAATTTTCCCACCAAACTCGAAATGTCATCAGCCACACGTACCCCCTCCTCAGTTATTGAACATTGTGGCTATGGTTGCTTTGAATGTGTTCAATCAACTGCCCAACAGCTTGAGGCACACCAAACCAAACCACCAAACCTAACTGACACACGTCCCCATCAAATGACACTGCCCCGTCGGGACACGCTGCCTCGTCAGCATCACGACATGACATGACTCACGTGCAGTTCGCACCAATTTTCAATGAGCGGCCTACGCATGACTAGAACTGGTGACCCTGTTGCACAGATTCTCCTTGGAGCCAAAAGTGGCAGCAAACGTATATACCCCACAAACGGGGTACATTACCTTATTCTACAAAGCTTATCACATTTATTTCAGTATCACACTTGCAGGGGGTAGCCCCCCTATGAGATAGTTATCAACCTAGACAGTTCACTATTACGGTCTACTTTCTGCGTTTATACTGGAATGCTAATATCTCGATTATTCCAACATCGAAAAACACACCATCGGCTGCACAAGCTATCAGTCAGGCACGCTTTTCGTTCTTCAAAATATTAATAGGGAAAACAGTTGATAGATCGTCCTGGCTCAGGCGAGGCGCTCCTGGTTGATGATGAAGGAACATAGACAGCAGATATACACCAGAGGAAACAATATGTGAGATGGACTCAAATGAGGTGGACAAGAACACGAACAAATGTCAAAAGAAGCAATAAATATGATGGATGGTATTGGGGACAAGGTGGCTTGCATGGTAAAGTGGTTCACCTACAGCAGGCCGATTGCATTACATCTTCATCGACCACTTACGTAAATGCTCTTGCAATCTTGAAATAATACGATGTTGCCCACGTTTTGTATCTGCCCTCTTTGCACGCATCATCGGTGAAAAGCGTGGCGAAACCACAACCGGCATGTTTATCCATATGATCCAGCGTGTACGTGGTCGTGAAGTTGCCGGCCACCTCCTTCGGGAATTGATTGCAGCCCCATTGTAAGCGGAAGGTGTAGGGCTTGGACGCTTTGCCTCTAGCGTTACGGTCCTGGATGAGAGTCATACTGCTGGCGAACACACTCCGATCTTGCCCTGAGAATGGATTGCACAAGGATGTGAAGGAAGGATGAGAGGGACCGAGGAGGACGTTGTGATGTTACGAGAGACAAAGGAAAAGAAGGTGAAGGCAAACAGAAGGCGGGAAAAGTCCTCACAACTTCAGGACCCTGTCACCTTTTGGGTGCCTCAAGGGTCCTCACAAGTCATCCTTAAAGCCACCTTAGAAGTTGAGAGATTGTCCGCTTCACCACCGTGCTACCCTACCTCATCAGCCCCCAAACTCTTGCAGAGCCGCGCAAATGCAGCTTTGGATGAAAAGAGATGAAGCAAACAGGGTAACGTTTGAATCTTACCTGCTTTGCATTCTGTTGTGGTCATCTCATAGCCTGGAGGGCACTCGCAGTAAGGCACATCCGCCTGCAGGTCACTAGATTGAGATTGATTCTTAATCTGAGTCTTACCCTGGATGCATTCTGTTGCGCTCATCCCATAGCTTGGAGGGTACTCGCAATACGGCACGACCGCCTCTTCAAGCGTGAGTGAGACAAATGCATGCAGCGTGTGATTGAAGGGTGGGAAGCAGGCGGGGCGCTGGTGAATCTTACCCGCTTTGCATTCTGTTGCGGTCATCCCATAGCCCGGAGGGCACTCGCAGTACGGCACCTCCGCCTTTTCAGAGTCACTAGATTGAGATGAAGCAGACAGGCAGGGCGGCATTGTGTGTCTTACCCTGGATGCATTCTGTTGCAGTCATCCCATAGCCCGGAGGGCACTCGCAGTACGGCACGACCGCCTCTTCAGAATTATTTGCACGGATGGTCTTGCAGGTGGCTCCAGTGGGGCATGTGCCACAGGGAGACTCTGAGCAACACAGCAAGCAGAGGGCACACAGGGCATGGCAAAGAGATGCCAAAAAGTGGGGTACGGTAAGAGGTATGGACGGTCTTGCAGGTGGCTAAAGAGGGGCATGTGCCACGCCACAGAGTGAGTCCGAGCAACACAGCAAGCAGGAGAGACACACGGTATTGCAGAGAGATGGTGAACTGAGCACGGCAACTGGACTAGCTGCGGATGAATGCTCAAAGCGAGCCACAAAAGGGTCGTCTGCACCGAATGATAGAGCTAGAGGAGAGCAGTGCCGATGGGCTGGATTAGGTGTACTTAAAAGGCTAAGAACAATGCTCATTTGATTTGTCAATGTTCACTCCATTTGTCCATACTCACTCCATTCGCCATGCGCACTCCATTCGCCCATGCTCACTCTATTCGCCCATGCTTACTCCATTTGCACGAGCGAAGTTCATCGGCGTTGATCACACAATCCCCATCCGGTCCGCAACCATCTCCCTACCCCCCCCACCCCCCCCCCCCCCCCCCTCTTCCTCCCCCCTCCTCTCCCCTCTATGGCCTATTGGAGTCTCATGCTTACTCCATTTGCAAGAGCGAAGTCCATCTGCGTTAATCACACAATCCCCATCCGGTCCGCAGCCCAACAAGTCGCAACCCATGTCTGTGGAAGAAGGGGGAAAATGAAGAGAAGATAGAAATACAGCATGCGGAGCATTCAACCACATGCACGAGGCGCACACCAAACCAATGCAGCCTGCAACTCACTGATCAAAACAGAATTGACTCTTGACTCGACTCATACCAAGCCAAAAAAAATCAAGGGCAACGCAACTCACTGCCGCCCGGAGGCATTTGAAAACAGTTTTTTAGGCTCGTCAAATTAAAAATAGAGACAATCACAAATCACGTTACAGGCACCTCGAAAGTCACCAAAAGAACGAAGACCATTGCAGCAACTCACCGCAAAACAATTTGTCCGGAAGTATCTCGTAGCCCGGGTCGCACTCGCAGGTGGGATCGCCATTTTCCTTCTTCACGCATTTGCCATTGGGCCCGCAATTCACTGCAGCACAGTTGTCTGCAGGGAGAGAGACCCAGGCAACGGGAGGCATAGCATCATATAATATAAGAAAACAGTAAGATGCAAACAGCCGCAGAGTCGAATATGTATGCAAGCTGCTAACTTCTGCATGATATTAGAGTTGACGGCAGGCCGTGTTTCAGAGACTGGGTTTCAAACGCAAGGACTGGGGTTCAACACAGAGTGTTGAAATGCAAGGCGCGCGCTCTGTATTGCTCTCCTCCAACTCACCAACACAAGAGAGCGTGTCATTCGACGGCTTAAAGCCCGTGCTGCAGCTACAGGATGGATTCCCGTTCGCATCCCTCGTGCAGTTGCCGCCAGGGCCACAATTCACCGCAGCACAGTTGTCTGCAGAAAAAGAGAACCAAGCAATTGGAAGGAAATGATCGCAACAGGGAACTTGAATATTAGGATAGTGACATTGGGGGACTAAAATATTGGGTTGGGATCTAGACACTCAAGGTTCACGGTTGAGATTGCATTCATAGCAGTAACTCGTGCAAAAAGAATTGAAGAGAGGAAAAGTTGAAAAGGCTGGGTTTGAAAAACGAGGCACTCGCTCTGTGTTGCTCTCCTCCAACTCACCAATGCAAGAGAGACTGTCATTCGACAGTTTAAAGCCCGCGTTGCAATTGCAGATTGGCTTTCCGTTCGCATCCTTTGTGCAGTTGCCACCAGGCCCACAATTCACCGCATCACACAAGTCTGTAGAAAACGGGACCCAGGTAAGTGGAAGGATATTGTCATATCAGAAATCTATGTTACCTGCATGCCCTGGAGAGTAAGAAAATCAGAGAAGTGAATACGTGCGCATTTCAGAAACGCTTGCAAGAGACTTGAGGGGAGGCAAAGTTTCAAGGACACGGTTTGAAACTCAACCAAGGCATGCCTTCTGTGTTGCATCCCTCCAACTCACTCACCAATGCAAGAGAGACTGTCATTCGACAGTTTAAAGCCCGTGTTGCAATTGCAGATTGGCTTTCCGTTCGCATCCTTTGTGCAGTTGCCGCCAGGCCCACAATTCACCGCATCACACAAGTCTGCACGGGAAATGGCACGGAGAAAGGGACTGAGGAGGTTTGACAGTCATGGGGTGTATAAAAAAAAGGATAATGTAATGATGCAAAGTAAGAATCTTGCAACGTCAAGGAGTGAGCAGGGGATACGAGGATATACCACAAGCAGCGTACCTACGCAGGTGCCATTGACGGCAGCAAAGCCGGGGTTGCATGGGCAGGTGACGGCCTTGCTGTCAGTCGTTGGCATGCACGTGGAGTTGGCTGGACACGTGGCGTGCTGGCAGGTGATTTCTGCAATGGGAGGGGGACCAGCATGGGATCAGAGAGTCATGGGTAGCACAGAGACACGTGACGCCCTTGCTGTCAGTCGTTGGCATGCACGTGGCGTGCTGGCAGGTGATTTCTGGCAGCATGGGGTGACATGAGAAGAGAGCCACGTGGTTAGCACAGAGACACGTGGGGTGAGATGTGTGCAGAGCGGCGGGTAAGACCAACACAGGGGTAAGACAATGTGCGGCGAGGAGAAGCAAGCAATGCGTGCAAAGCAACGAGGCAGGGCAATGAGGCAGGGATGCAAGGAGGCGAGGAGGCAAGGAGGCAAGGAGGCAAGGAGGCGAGGAGGCAAGGAGGCAAGGAGGCAAGGAGGCAAGGAGGCAAGGAGGCAAGGAGGCAAGAAGGCAAGAAGGCAAGGAGGCAAGGAGGCAAGAAGGCAAGGAGGCAAGAAGGCAAGGAGGCAAGGAGGCAAGGAGGCAAGAAGGCAAGGAGGCAAGGAGGCAAGGAGGCAAGGAGGCAAGAAGGCAAGGAGGCAAGGAGGCAAGGAGGCAAGAAGGCAAGGAGGCAAGGAGGCAAGGAGGCAAGGAGGCAAGGAGGCAAGGAGGCAAGGAGGCAAGGAGGCAAGGAGGCAAGGAGGCAAGGAGGCAAGGAGGCAAGGAGGCAAGGAGGCAAGGAGGCAAGGAGGCAAGGATGCGAGGCAGGGAAGCAGGAAGGCAGGGAGGCAAGGCACGCACCACACTTGCAGGAGACGGAAGTCCATCGGGCAACCTTCTTTGAGCTGCACGCAGGGATGTCAGAAGCACATTCAGGAGAGACATGAGACATTACATTAGGGCGGCACAACCCGAAGCACGACTGTGGGTCAGGAATGTGGCGCACGACTGAGGCATCATTGGTAACTCCCCACGAATGTGGTGGGGAAACTCATTCCCCCGCCCCCATTTCCACCTGCCCTGTACCCAGGACCCACCTGGGCAAACTTGAGTTGCTTGCACGCCGCACCTCCACCCTTCCCCCGCGAACCACCGCCGCCCGTGCCGCCGCCCGTGCCGCCGCCCGTGCCGCCGCCCGTGAGCCCGTGCCACCACACCTGCACGTCACCCGCCGCCTTGCGCGCCGCCCGGGGAAGGCTGAAGCAGCGGAAGGCGTCGAAGCTGACGGGGACGCTCACGCCCGGCACCGCGATCACAGTTGCCACGTGGACCCTTGCCTCCACCGCGCCGCCTTCAACCCCCACCCCCACGCGCATGGTCCCATTCCCGCTTCCCGCAGTGATCTCGCTTTTGAGGCTTCTGGCAGTCAAAGCCTCGGTTGCCTCTCTCCTGGCTGTCTCGTGTCTCTCAGACTCGCTTGCGCCGTGCACTCTCATGCGGGAGTTCAGGGCATCAGCACGATCGCCTGCTGCCTTGTGAGACGTGGAGACGGCTGGAGGGAGAGGAAGCAGAGGAGTGGAAGGAACAGAGGGATGAGAGGAAAGGGGCGGAATGACGGGCTTACACGGAGGGTAAACTACCCCCTGTTGTGGTCTAGAGGGGAGGTATAGAACTTTTCGGGAGAAAAAAATACAGAGTGAAGAACCCCTTGGGAAGGTCAAGGAGAAAAGAAGGACTGACCGCAGATGACGGCGAGGACGAGGAGCGGAAGCAGCGCGGCAGGAGAGGCGGCCATGGCGGTCAAGCTGCCAAGATAGGCGATTCCAATACGTCAAATGGGGTGATTCTTGTGCAGCGCGCCGCTGCCACGTCAGGTGAGTCAGGCGCAATGAGCAGAAGAGTGTGGCTCTGTCAGGGATTGCTGCTGGTAGCACAGATGAGAGCGCAATGTCAGGGAAGATGGATCTGAACCATTGATGGTACACGGCGTTGCAAACGTGCAGCTGAACGATGCAGCTCGATCGATGCGACTGGTATAGCTGATACTACGTATGGCAGGTGCTACTAAAGTTTGTGGTATGGCTGGAGGTATGAGAGTAATGGAATATCTGCCGCTGGCGTTGCTGCCATACGGCACGAGGAAATGGCAAAGAAGCGGCGGAGGGAATGTTTCCATGGCTGCTCTGGCGGGTGGTTTATGGGCCAAGTTCGGACGCTCGCCTATCGTTCCGCGCGCAGTTCCGCCTCCCGCGAGCAGTTCTGCCACTCCCCCAATCGCCCGAGGCTGATAGTCCCGTACGAGGCGCTAGGAACGCGATAGGGTGGCGTGCTTCGGAGTTATTGATGCATTTGAGGGTTGCGAGCTGAAATGCGAGTTTCGCTTCGGATCGCTATCCTGTGGCGTGCTGTGCTGCGAAGGCCCGCGCAGGCCGGAAACAGGGCGACCGACTCAGCAGTCGCCTGCAGTGTCGCTCTGGCTGGTGAGCGACGGTGGGGCTTGATAGAAGCAACAGGATAGGAGCACAACTGAATTATATGCATGAGTGCGAGCACTCTTGCCCTAAGTTCTTGTCTGGGATAGGAAAGGATAAAGTTCCCATCCTAGCACAGAAGTGAATTATTGCAAGCGTGCAGCTCACATTTGTTTATCAATCTCACGGCTCACAGTTGCTCATTTTCTCTTATGGGGTGACTTATTGAAATCGCACGGCTCACATTGGCTCATCACCCCCTTCCAGCGGAGAGTGAATTACTGGAATAGTGCAGGCGGAGGGGATGCGTGCGACACCTGCTGTGCGACACATCCCAAACATAAAAACTCGTTTCAATGCGGGGAATAGTAAGGTGATGTAGTGTCTAGAAATTTCAGTTAGCATAACTTGAAAATTGTCTTGAGCAAAAACAATCAGAATAGCCAACTCTTCTGAATTATGGAATGACCGCAACTGCAAGCAACCTACTGGCAAATCTCACCTGCAGAATGCCAGGGAGTTTGACTACATTTCATTCCACATCCATATATAGTGCTCTCCACAATAATTTGCACCAACAATTATCATTGAATCACACCAGATTTACCACAAAGAGACCTTATTGATTGATGCATCTCGCACATGGAACAAAAAGTGATTCTCCACTTATTCGGCCTCTTCAAGACCAGCGGAACCACACTGTAAGGCCATGCAATGCAAGGCCTTAAAGTGAGTGACCTAGGCAGCCTGAAGGCTGCCGTACTGTCATCACTGTGGGCAGCCATGAAACGGCTCCTCACAAAAGGAATGAACAGGAAATAATCAGCACCGCACCGATATCCACAGCAGCACGCGACAGGCTGAGACTGCAGGGTTTGAGCGTCCGATCAACATCCACGTTGCCAGCACGATTATCACTCCCGCAGCTCATGCACAACACCATGAAATCATCAATAATTTCAATATTGCCGTAACAAGCAGAAGCCAGCCGTCCATCACCACAGCGACGGGTTACCAGCCAGGCTCGACAGGTCCACGTTGAAGCCGTCGGTCCACGCCTCCGACCATAGCGACGCGAATCCGCCAGCCGGAGCAGACGGCGTGGGGGGGATGCCTGAGGGGGTCGGCGGAACGGCAGGGTCCCACGCGTTGGAGCCCCAGCCGGTGGGCGTGGGGCACGGAGCAGCGGCGGGAGTTGCCATCGAGTACATGTCTGCGAACATTGACGGAGCTGTTGCCGCGACGTTCGCGACGTCGACGAGAGGCGGAGCTGCTGGACGTTTCTGGATAGCTGGCGATTGTTGCGACTGCTCGTGTTGCTGCGACTGCAGCTGCTGCGGCCCCTCGTGCTGATGCTTCTGCTGCTGCTGCTCACGTTGTTCCTGATACTGCTGCTCCTGCTGTTGAAGCGGCTGCCTATCCACGGCTTGTACCTGCGGAAGTTGCTGCTGCTCCTGCTCCTGCTGCGGCTGCGCTGCTTCCTCCTCATCCACACCAAATTCCATCAGCAGCTCATCAATAAATAACTTATCGTCCAATTTCTCGGCTCCCACATCAGCACCTGGAGCAGCCACTGCAGGCTTCACCTCCAGAGGATCCGAGAAACCAAAAACGGGAATTTTGACCGTTGGAGGAGCGGGACGCGCTTTGGGACAGACCGACGAAACCATTTCCGCCTCCCACTGGAGAATTTCGGAAAGGCTGAGCTTCTTTTCGTGCTTGGCGTCCTCTTGCTGCTGCATCTGAATGCGGAAGTCAAGCTGCTGAGCCATCTTACTCCGCTCCCCCTGAGCAGACTTTTCTGGAACGGTTTCTGTCGGCTGATTCCGTCCCGGCGCCGGCGGCTCGGCGACGACGTACTCTCCTCGTAACGACGATGCAACGGCTCTCACCCAATCCGAAGCGGCATCATGGAAATTGAAGTTGACAGCTCCGTTGGGAGCGAAACGCGAAGGTGGCGGTGGGTGCTGAGAAGCGGTGACACACCCAGAAGAGTGAGCAGGCCGAGAAGAAAGCGTGGGATTCTGAGGAGTAGGAAGCGAGTCATTCTGAGAATCTCGGCGCATCCCACGGTTGGTGGTGGTGCACGCACGGACCAAACGAGGAGCATCCGACGGCTGACGAGACGGTGCAGATGATGTATTGCAACGGACCAAAGCAGGCTCGGAACGATGCTCGGACCGAGGCATGAGAGTTGCCAGGTCGGGGAGAACGAGAAGCTTCGTGGAAGAAGTGGAGCCGGTAGGTGCTCCGGATGAGACGGGAAGGGTCCTTGGCTTGAGCCGAGGTGGCTCGGATTCGCACTGCTTTCTCTTTTTCAGATTCGGGATGGCAATCGGCTCTTGGCATTCTGCAGGCCACCCGTTGGAGCCGAACCATTCCGATGGAGCTTCTTTCGTCTTAGCGGCTACTCTAAGCGCATCCATGAAGCTCATGCACGCCATATTAGTAGACTTGAGTGTCAGATTAAAGAGCTTAAGTTTCGCCTCACCTATGCTGGCTGACTGAAAGGGTCACGAGTCTAAGTAAAACCGCGAGAGGCGGTGATAAATAATAAAACAAATTGGAGAAACAGAAGCAGGAGCGAAGTGGGAGGAATCCGGGGAACTGCTGCATGAAACTCAGACGAAAGCTGACCACAGCTAGAGATTCCAGTGAAGCTCACTAACGTTACGGGCAACAATAATCAAACCCTAGGCCTTGAATGGTCGGCAGGGCATCTCAACTGCATAGACTTGGCAGGTCTCTTCACTCGTCTAGAAGCAAGTTGCTCGTTCTAAAATGGCAGGCAATCTCGGGGAGGCATGTGTGGATTGGATAGGTGGGTGGAATTGTAAGCGGAGGTCGACGGAAAAGGGAAACCTGATGAAGCGGAGAAGAGAAGAAAACGGCGGAATGCTGAAGAGAGGATGCTGTGCTGAGGTGAGAGTCTGAGACAGGTGGGTGGAGAGGAAAGGAGAGAGGAAGGAGATGAAAGAGGCAGGCGAGAGGAGAGGTGAGGAGGGGAGAGGAGAGTCTGGGAGGGGGAGGGTAGAAGTGGTTGGACCGAGCCAAAGGAAGAGGGTGAGAGGAAGGAGGGAAGGGCGGCAAGGCAACCGGTTGGTTCGGGAGATTTCTCCCCCACTAGACGAGGAGGAGAGAGGTGCGGAACGGTTGGCGGGTGCGAGGGATATTCTCCGCGCGCTACTTGCAGCATGATTCAGCGCAAGGAGACCACACAAACAGGCGCGGGGACAGGGAGGCTCTGATGCGGTGCGGAGCCTAGGGTTTGCCGCGCACGCTTGAGGTGGTTTGTTGGTTGGTGGGGGCGCGGATGGAGGGTGGAGGTAAGGGGAGGCGAGGGGGCGTAGGGGGATGTGTGGTTCGGGAGATGCCTGGGTCCTGGGCACTGAGAGATGAGGTTGGGGGAACGGGGGAATACAACCAGGCTCGGCTACTGTGTTGGGTTTGAGGGACGAGACGGATGTCCTGGTCGAAAAAAAAACGTTCGAGTGGATGGAACGGTACAGTGACAACGCGCGTGCCCCTTGCGGAGCTGCCCTGGAAAAATGAGTTTGCACAGCTGCCCTTGCGTTCGGCCAACTCGTGGTGGGAATGCTGAGGGCTTGTGAAACTGCCTCGAGCCTGTCACGAGCAGCTGCCTCGTCATTGATGGCGTTCTGTTACTGTTAACACAAACAAAGGCGAATCACGTGGTGTTTTATCGGGTGCATACTCAGGTGGTACAGTTGACGCACAAATGTTTGGAAGATGCCCAGCATGCCACACTCCAGTTCGCAGCCACAATTGCTGGCCAGAGACAATGAAAATATTTATGGGTGACCGAAACGGCTAGAGCACGGGCTACGGGCGGGTGCCGATGGTTGGTGAGGTGAGCTGGTGAGGCAAAGGTGAAACCAAGATCGTTCTTTTGGCGGCTGTTCGGTTTCTTCCTTCCGCGGTCAACGAAACTCACTGTACGGCGAGGCTGGTTACGCACAGGCGGACAAACGTAATTGACCGTCGATCTGAGGCTGGAGAGAGTGGCATTCTAGAACGTGATTGGGCCTGGAAGAATTGCTGTCAGCAGGATTCGTGACGAAGCGAAATCTTGCCTGCCATCAGATTCTAGCTGTCAGCAGCACTCACAAGAATGCACCCACCACAAGAGGCCCCCTTGGTAAGCCAATGGACCTAGAAATCTGTTTTAGATAGAGAACCACATGATAAGTTCTTGCAAAACTGCTGACACATTTTCTGAGCCCATACTTGATGCAGGTATTGATCAGGTTTCTGTTTCTCAAAGAACCAAAGCTTCTGAAAATACAAATAGCATACAGTGGTCTCTTGCTATAAGAGCATATATGGTCTTTTTCACGCTGCATGTACGGTACCTTGCTCTCTATACGGTGGTTAACTCGTGATACGGTAGCATAAATGTGTCATACATGTTGCAATAAGCGCATGCACGAATCGGACTGTACAAGGAGAATGCGAAAGCATTACGTATTAATCAACTAAACTAGGATCATGAAAATGACTCCCATTCATCCATTTCACCAATCTAAAGTGCCACGGCATTTGGATACCAAAATACCTATAATAAAACGCATCCCTCACCTTCTTGGGCCCGACTGTTTTCATGGGGCAGTTTTTGAACATTGGTCGTTTCTTCAAAATATCTGATCCCTTTCTAACACCCAAGTCGTCGTTGGCATAATCGACGAATCGTGCCGAAGTGGAAGTAACATTGATATGCCGATGTGTGCTCAACTTTGCAACATTCGGCAACTGCTCGCAGTAACGGTAATTCATGTCCGCATCTTGGACATCGACCAGAACCAGGTCGATGTAATTATTCGTGGGCAGCCCGCTGCAATTGCCTGTCTGCGTGTCCTTTAAGGTGCCCAGCGCGTTTGTGTTACAGTTAACCCCGTTAATAGAAGTCTCGAAACAAGTGTTCTTCATCCAGGGCCATCTCTGAAAAGGATGCATTCAACAAGGGGGACAAAATTGGTGAAACAACAAGCATAGCGAATACAGGTTGATATTTGAGGTGTAGCACAGGTTGGACTGTGTAAAGGGCTGGAGAGCTCACAGATTATTGCATAAAAGCGGCCCAGCAAGATTATTGCATAAAGCTTCATGCTATGCTAGAGTATATACTAGTTGACATATTTGAAAAATGACCTCTGTTATGAGGGAGACACCGCCCACCTGCTGAAACGCGGCACTACTGTAGTACTTGGCTCGCATGCGGTCCCAGTAGTTGCCGGGGTCCTTGAAGCAGTTGCACACGGTGATACAAGATTACCGAGTTGGCTTATAAGGGGTACACGACCCACCTGCTGGAAGGGAGCACTGCTGTAGTACTTGGCTTGCATGCGGTCCCAGTAGTTTCCCGGATCTTTAAGGCAGTTGCACACGGTGGCAGTGAGGCACGTGCACCACCCTGGCGTGAGCTCCGTGCCCTTCATCACCACATGCTGAATGCGGTTCCTGCCAGGCAGAGCAAGGATGGGAAAGCACTTTGGATGGTAGTAATTGAGGAACATGGCACTCCAAGAAGAGAAGCTTGTAAGAAAAGAAGCATGCACCGACCGACCGGCCTGTGTGTTGTGATGTGCTAACCTAACCATCATCTACTTGGATTTGCTAACCTAACCATTTCCCTTGCTGACTCACCATTTCCCTTGCTGACTCACCATTTCCCGTTGTTGACCTTCATGCCATCCACTGTCCCGATACAAGGCCCTCCGCGTATAGTCACACCCGAGCTGGCGTAATCCAGGTAATAGCAGTGGTCACCCCCGATTATGTAGTTGCACTCCGCCAAATTACCCGGGTTATTCCAGTGCGTTACGTAGTATATCCCCGTGGCATCACCCCCGCCGGTGAGGTTCCGGCCCTTAGCGACAACAAGGTTATTTGAAATGGAGGTGAGCATGCAATCGCCCTGGGAAGGGATAGAATGGGGTTTGGAGAGATTGAGATGGTTAGTGTGGGTCAATTCAACCCTTAGGCTCAACGAGGTTCTCTGATCTGAGATGGTGTGGAGCATGCAGTTGCCCTGGGAGGGAGGGGAGAGGATGGGTGAGGGCGGGAGGGAGGGAACGGGAGGGAGCGGGGGGGTTTGGTGACTAAGGCTTCGCACATGCGCGTAACATGCTCGCGAATCGTCGTAACATGCACACTTTCCTTGCAACTTCCCCAATGCCTCTGTAGCAACTCCTCTCACCTGCAAGTGAACCATGCCATGTTGCCACATGTGATGGCAGCCCACACGTAGTCATGCACGTGATTGCTCTTGAACACTGCCCTAACCGTGCGCACGTGTGTTTTGAGTCGACTCAAAAGAATCACCACCTTTCACCTGCAAGTGCACCCTACTGTGAGGCGCCTGAGTCACCATCTCTCACCTGCAAGTGAACCATGTTGCCACATGTGATGGCAGCCCACACGTAGTCATGCACATGGTTGTTCTTGAATACCGCTCCCACCACACCGAACTGAAACAACACTGGCAGGTACACACCTGGGAGGGTGGGTTGGAAAGGGGTGGAGAAGAGTGGAGAGGGATACACAGGGGTGGAGAGGGGCAGGTATAGTGCACAGAGGGATGGCAGCCCAGACGTAGTTGTGCAAGTGGTCGTTTGAAAATTTTTCATTGTTGGTGATGTGGATGTATGTAGGGACTCGTACGAGAGCATACCACACCGCACCACACCTTACCACTGCACACCACCTCACACCACTCCACACCACACACCACACCATACACCATACACCACACCGCACCATGGTATGTATTCAAACCCTCCTCCCACCCCAGAGCTGACTTCATTGTTGGTGATGGCAGATGTATGTGCGCACCAACAGGGGCATGTACCGTACCTTGCCAACCCACCCCACACCACACCACACCACACCACGCCCCATCATCTCCTCATACCATAGATCTCATTGTTGGTGAAGCAGATGTATGTGCACACCAACAGGGGCATGTACCGTATCATGCCACACTGCACCTTGCCTCACCACACCACACCCCATCCACCCACCATAGATCTCATTGTTGGTGACGTAGACATAGCAGCGCACCAGCAGCGGTCCATACCCCGACAGCATCACTCGAATCACCCCGTTGCCCCTCTTGAAATCAGACACTGCAGTCATCTTCATGCTGTCAATGCGGCTGTGCATTGTTCGAATCACATCCACTCGGCCGAACGTGTAGCCCTGGGATTGGTTGGGGAGGGGAGGGGAGGAGGGGGGGGGGGGGGGATATGGCAAGAGAAGGGTGGAGGTTCGAGGGGATTCAACAAGACAACTTTTGAATCGACTCAAAAGTCGAGGGGATCAACAAGGCATGAAGGTGTGTGTATGCCTTAGGAGGAGTAGATGTGGATGACAAGGCTCAAACGCTTATTTCCCTCAAGCAATATCAGCCTTTGCACTCGCTATTAGCAGACCCACTGAAACAATTCAAACGCCAGAGAAGCAGTAGATGTGGATAAGAGGGTACACATGCTGATTTCCCTGGGGCACTATCAACCAGTGTACTCGTTACTAGCAGACTCACCTTGACGATCTGAACGCCGTAGGAGCGGTAGACGTGGATGAGAGGGCAGATGATGTCTGTTCCCACTTCAGGGATCTCCCTGGGGCACGCCTTTGAGTAGGCTCGGAACGGTTGCGACATCTGAATGTGGGGATTGGGGGAATGAGAGGGCAGATGGCTTCCCTCTTGAGTCGACTCAAGAGAGCAGATGGCTTCCCTCAGTGCCCACGTCAGGGATCTCCCCAAGGCATGCCTGTGGGTAGGCTTTGAACGGCTGTGACATCTGTGAGGGTCGAGAGGGGCGGGGAACGGTGGTGTTGCGGGTAAGAGAAGGAGGGTGTGGGGAAGGAGAAGAGCAGGAGGGTGCGCGGAAGGAGAAGAGCAGGGGGACCACACAGCACCACACAGCACCGTACAGCACCGCTCTCAACCCACCTGCACGCGGTACACTATAACATTGCTGGTGTTCCATATACGCAGTATCGGCTCGTCCACCCGATGCACGTACAGCCGATACCCCCTCCCTTTCTCCCCGCCACCCGACCGCAGGATTGTGCATGCATATTTGGGGCCGAGCAGCAGCCCTCGCTTGAGAGTGACGTGGTTCTGAAGCTCGAGAATAACGGTGGTGGAGGGGGGATAGCGCCTGCGCTGCTTGAAATCAGGCTCGCTGGTAACCGGGATTACCACGGCTGAGGCCAGGGGGGAGCACGCTGATCCTGAACGAAGAGGGGAGGGAGGCGGGGTGCGGGGAGGGGAGATGTGAGGAGAACACATGACCAAACAGCAGCCTGTTCTCTGTGGGTCCATCTCCCGATCGCAGGATTGTGCATGCATACTATGGGCTGAACAGCAGCCATCTCTTCAAAGTGACGTGGTTCTGAAGCTCGAGAATAACGGTGGTGGAGGGGGGATAGAGCCGGCGTTGCTTGAAATCAGGCTCGCTGGTAACCGGGATTACCACGGCTGAGGCCAGGGGGGAGCACGCTGATCCTGAACGAAGAGGGGAGGGAGGCGGGGTGCGGGGAGGGGAGATGTGAGGAGAACACATGACCAAACAGCAGCCTGTTCTCTGTGGGTCCATCTCCCGATCGCAGGATTGTGCATGCATACTATGGGCTGAACAGCAGCCATCTCTTCAAAGTGACGTGGTTCTGAAGCTCGAGAATAACGGTGGTGGAGGGGATTAGAACAGCGGAGGCCAGGGGGGAGCACGCTGATCCTGAAGGAAAAGGGGAGGGAGGGAGGGAGGGAGAGGGGGGGTGGGGAGAGAAGGGGTGTGATGCGAGGTGTCTTTGCAGGTCCTGGGACGAGGATTAGCACGGCTGAGACCAGGGGGGAGCATCACACCACATCCCTTCTCCCCTTCGACGATTTTTGAGGCGCCTCAAAAACAGGTCCTGGGACGAGGATTAGCACGGCTGAGACCAGGGCGGAGCATCATACCACATCCCTTCTCCCCTGAAAGTGCTCCTGGATTAGAACGAACGGCTGAGGCAAGGAGGGAGGGAGCACGCTGATCCTCCTACAGGAGAGGAGGCATGGGAAGAGGGGAGAGTTGAGGAGAGAATTCCATAGGATGGGGTGGGGTGTTGCTATAGGATAGCCACTGTGATAATGGTCGGCAAGGTGGCAACTGAAAAGATTGGCAGCGACGTTGCCTTGTGCTGTGCCACGTCAACATTGCACTAGCACAGTGACCTAACCTCACCTTGCTTAATGCTAGCATTAGAAGCAAACACTGAAGCAAAGCCAGCAGAGTCAGGCTCGGCAGCAGATTGAGGCTCGGAAGAAAGTATCTCTGCAGGTACAGCACGAGCGTCCCGCGCCAGGGACTCCTCCAACCAAGCCATCGTTGCAGGCTCGGACCGGACCTGCTGCCTCAGCCACGGATTCATCCACTCCTGAGGCTCGGCCCATCTCAAAAGCTGTGACTGTGTCTGTTCCTGTGCCTGTGCGCGGTGTGACAGTATTGAAGGCGACTCTGAATGCGACTGTATTGTAACAGATCGTGGACTGTCCGTATCGTATCTGAAACCATCCTCGTTAGTGTATGAACTCGCTGATTCGGTAAAAGCGGTTTTATTTCTATGCCATGCACCAGTGCTCTGATGCAGGTGGTACAGCGACGAGTGGCGGGCCGGCTCGTGAAACGCGCTCCTGTGGCCTGGGAAAGGGAAGGGCAGGGAGACAAAGGCGTGAAGGAGTGAAGGCTTTTGAGGACGAGAGAGAGAGAGTTATAAAGCGCCTCAAAAGACGAGTGGCGGGATGGCTCGCTCCTGTGGCCTGGGAAAGGGAAGGGCAGGGAGACAAAGGTGTTAAGGAGTGTAGACGTTGGGGAACAGTCCGAAAGAGAGAGGTTCAGAACGTATGTACAATATAAGCAGCAAGAGGCAAACGTTCGAGAGGTTTGGATGGAGGAATATAAGCAGCAAGAGGCAGCAGAACAAGCACCGACGCCACAAACTGATCGAGTTTAGGACTCACAACTTCGGAGACGTCTCAAAATTCACCTACACCACAACCTGATCGAGTATCCAGGTTATGACTCACAATCGGATTCAACTGACACCAGAACCTGACCATTGACCTGGCCTCTCACCTGCACCTGCACCTGGCCTCTCACCTACACCTGCACCTGGCCTCTCACCTGCGGCTCGGACGCGCAGCAGGAGCGGCCGCTCACGACAGACGTAGGAGACGGAGAGCACGGTAACGAGCAGCGCTAAGTTGAGAATCAGGGAATGATAACGAAAATTCCCGATGTACGCCTTCAGGTTACTACCGTAGTAACATAGCGATGAGCCTACTCCACGCAGCGACTCCCGCCGCAGTCCCCGCCTTCTCTGCGGCCTCGTCGTTGTCAAAAGGGGTTGCATCGTTATCTCGCGACACAGACCTCGGAAATACTTGCTTTCATGGAGAGTTTTAAATCACGTGTGATTCGGCTCAGACGTACCAACTATGGCCTACGGAGAACCTTGCTGATTTTACGTCCAGCCGTGGACCACGACCGCCTTCCGCTCGGCTAGAGTGGACGGCTATCGATATTCATGATGAGAACGGCTACCAGAAGCAGCTGGCTTTGAAACCGCGTGCCTGATAAGGATCGACGAAATTCTACTGTGGCCTAAATTTCGAGCCTAAAATCCGTTCCTACCGTTGAAGTCTACTCTCAAAAGTTCTCCAGCGAAAACCGTCGGTCTTTCTTGATCCATGCTGATGAGACGGTGAGTGCGGTGATGAGCAACACACAGGACGATTACCGTTGGGGTTAGCGCGCCGAAACATGGGACACCGTGCAAGAAAGGGAAAGCTGGGATGCGACTGGCCTAATGGAGGCTCGCGCTGGTTCAGGCTGCGAGAACGAGAAGCGGGAATACCGTTCAGTTCATCCTTGCTCGGTTGTTGCCACAAAAGAAACTCCCTGTGGGGAGATTGGGAGAGATAGGTTGGGAGGGAGAGTGGTTCGGTTTGGAGGGAATTACAACAGCATGGTCATATGGGAAAGTCACAGCCACTTCGTGAGAAGCACTGCCCATGGCGGCGGCGGTCGGTCAGACAGACGGAACCTTGGGAACTGTCCGGGTAACCTCGGGTTACCGAGACAGTATAAGAGTTTCGTGCGTGAGAGTAGACAAGCCTGTTTATTGCAGTGCGAAAGGGAACTTCGCTCGTCTGGTATTCTACCACGTATGTTGCAAGGCGAAGCGACTTTCGCCTGGTTTTGTTATCGTGAAGCGGCTGCCCGCTATTGGCGACTCCACAACTTTCGCCACAACGGAGCGCAACGTGGTTGTGACATCCCTTGTCGCATCCAAAACAGTAATTCGAGTCCAAGTTGCCCAGCCCAGTTGCAGCGCTTCTCGTGCAAGAACAGCACAGAACCACACTGTACTGTACCGTTCAAATGAAAGCGCGTGGCGTGCTCATATCGAAGTGTTCCTGCAAACCAACAAGCGTGCCCAAAAGAATCTTGCCCCAGCTGGAGGGAACCACGGCAAACCGACCACCACCACAGGGGTGGTGGGTGGTGGCGAATGCATTCGCTGCGGTGCGGTGTACAAGTCGACCTCCCCCGAATTATCGCCCAAAGAGAGTGGCTTCGGTTTTAGTATAATGAACCATTTTCAGCCGTATTCTGTGCTAATCACCTACAGCAAGTATTATGGTGGCATAGAGAGAACAACAATTAAAGAAGTGATTGGTGGTGCTGCACGGCTTCGCTGGACAGCTGAATCATTCTTCACCCTAGATGAAAGAGAATAATAATCTGGTGCCTATGGAAGCCGTGGAAACTTGGAGAAATCTGGTGCACGCCCGCTCAAATACGACTCGCGACCTTCCACTGCTTCCGGAGTGTTGTAGAAAATCAACGTTGCATTTCCTGCCAGCTCCTGTTCACGGAGAGAAAGGAAGTGTTTGTTTCACACAACAGAGGCATGTGGCACATAACATGTTACTTGCATGGGATGCACATCCTACTTCCACAGCACGGCGCGCAGATGACACACTACCAACATGCAATGCATGCGAGCAGGCTACACACATGTTTTACTTCAGCTGCAAGCCAACAGTGCTATGAGATGCTCCACATTGTGGCACATGGCATCATGCCTATAGACCGTGCTGATTACCGCCTTACCGACTTTGAGAGCACCCTCACTCAGGGCCGTGTGGTCAATAACCATGGCACCATGTTGTGTTACAAGACACACAACACATCATGCACCATGGCACACGTATCTCAGCTTACCTGCAAGCCAGCAGTGCTGTCATCTACAACATGAATCGCCAACTTGTGCACCCTCAGGGCCGTGAGGCTATTCCTTCATCCCGTAGACACATTACCTGCTGTATGCAAACCAGCACACGACTTATCACCCACACATCATGCACAGCCCACCTGCAAGCCAGCAGTGCCATCATCCACCGCATTGATCGCCGACTTGAGCACCCTCAGGGCCGTGGGGCTATTCTTTCACTCACTGGTGTGCTGTATAGTGCATCCCTTGCCTGCAAGCCACGCCATGCACCCGACACACTCACCCACACGTCACCCACAGCCCACCTGCAAGCCAGCGGTGCCATCATCCACTGCATTGATCGCCGACTTGAGCACCCTCAGCGCTGTGGGGCTGTTCCTCAGGATCTCCCGGCACCACTTCACCGTCTCGGCCTCCAAATTCGCCAGCTGCCACGGCAGAGAGGCAGACATAAATTAGGAGGAGAGCAACAGTGAGCACGCTTAGTCTTCATAGTCTCTATTCCTCAGGATCTTCCGACACCACTTCACCGTTTCCTGCTCCGAATTCGCCAGGTGACAACCTGATTAAACATGGGGAAGAGGAGGGCAGAAGTTACACGGAGGACACGATAGAAACAGTACAAACACTCAATGGACAAAGAGCGTTGATACGGCACAAAGCACTCATGGGAACAACTGTGTTGATGAGTCCCATATCCAGTGCCTGCGCAGCCGTGTAGTGCCTGGCGAGGAACCAGATTTCCCTGGCCTTCTTGACTGCTGATGTCTGTTACGGCATACCAATGGGGACATCAACACCAGCGCAACAGTGTTATATATACTCACCGGCACAACCGTGTTGATGAGTCCCATGTCGAGCGCTTGAGCCGCTGTGTAGTGCCTGGCGAGGAACCAGATCTCCCTCGCCTTCTTGGGACCCACAAGGCGAGACATGATAGAGCTGCCGTACCCCGCATCAAAGCTGCCCACCTGGGAGGGTCGAAGGGCAAACAGTGTGAATCGTGACAGAGCATTGGTCAGGGGGGAGAGCCATCTTGGGGCCCACTAGGCGAGACATGATGGGAGAGCCGTAACCGGCATCAAAGCTGCCCACCTGGGAGGGGCGTGGTGGGAGGGGCACAACTCGGGCATGAATTGGGAGGCCCAAACAAACAATATAAACAGTTTTCTCCCTCACTTTCAGCCCCCCTCGCCACACCCTGCCCCTGTCTCACCTTGGAGACCGTCTGTTTAAACACATCATTGTCAGCAGCAACGACGATGTCATGTCACACACCAGATGCAGCACGTCCGGCACAGCCTTTACTTAGAGAGCACCAGCGACGCTCCATGCCTACACATTCCAGCGCCATGCCTCTATGGGGTTGCTTTGCTTTTGTCCCCGTCTCACCTTGGGCCCTGTCTGGCCAAACACAGCGTTGTCAGCAGCAATGGTGATGTCACACACCAGATGCAGCACGTGGCCTCCCCCTATGGCATACCCTGCCACCTGTACGCAGATGGAGGGAACGCAGAAGAGAAATGCTTGAAGACCAGAGCAGAACTGCTGTACGCTCTTGAGGAACGAGGGACACACAACACGCAGCAGCGCAGCACATGCAACACGTGCAACACATGCAGTTGGGCGGACTTTATCACGTGGGAAATCATTGACTTACCATGGCGATTACTGGCTTGGGAGTCCGCCGAATTTGAACCTGCAGTGACACGAGCGGCAGAGTGGGAAAGTGTGGAAAGGGGAGGGTGGAACATGGTGGAAGGGAGAGGGTGGCGGAGGGGAAGGAGGGGAAGGAGGGGAGCGCAACCCTCAATATGAGCCGGTGGACAAGAGAATTTGAGGGGTTATGGGGTGGCGAAGGGTTGGAAAGTGGTGGGGGGGGGGGAAGGGTTGGAAAATGGAGGGGAAGAGGGAGCCACTGTCATTATGAGGCAGGTGATAAGAAGATCTTTTTGAGGCGCCTAAAAAAGGAGCAAATCTCATTATGAGTCAGGTGATAAGAGAATCAGGGGGATCATGGTCCAGCACGTTGAGTCGAGGCACCTGGTCGCCCCCCACACACACGTGCACACAATGATAGGGTCCTTCCCCCTCCCCCTCCCCCTCCCCCTCTCTCTCCCCCTCCCCCTCCCCCTCTCTCTCCCCCTCCCCCTCCCCCTCCCCCTCTCTCTCCCCCTCCCCCTCCCCCTCTCTCTCCCTCCCCCTCCCCCTCCCCCTCCCCCTCCCCCTCTCTCTCCCCCTCCCCCTCCCCCTCTCTCTCCCCCTCCCCCTCTCTCTCCCCCTCCCCTTCCCCCTCTCTCTCCCCCTCCCCCTCCCCCTCTCTCTCCCCCTCCCCTTCCCCCTCTCTCTCCCCCTCCCCCTTCCCCTCCCCCTCCCACTCCCCCTCTCTCTCCCCCTCCCCCTTCCCCTCTCTCTAACCCTCCCCCTTCCCCTCCCCCTCCCACTCCCCCTCTCTCTCCCCCTCCCCCTCCCCCTCTCTCTCCCCCTCCCACTCCCCCTCCCCCTCCCCTTTTTTCCCCTGAATACCCCACCTGCAGGTCCAGCACGTTGAGGCGCGGCACCTGGTCGCCCCCGACGTATCCGTGCTTGCCCCTCACAGCCTGGTCTCCGCCGCTGCAGAACGACAGGTCGCCCTGAGAGACAACAGGGACGGTGCGAATGGACGAGAAAGGGTGAATAGCTAGAAACGGGTTGGTGGAATTCCGTTCTCGGTTGTTCCCCCTCGCGGCCTGGTCACTCTTAGTAGACTCAGCTTGCGTTGAAAGGCTCGCCTGGCCTGTGTTTTCATCTCACCATCGCCTTGTGTTGAGATTCTCACCTTGCCGGTGAAGATGATCACTCCAACGGTCACATCGTCCCTCGCAGCGTCGAACGCGCGCTTCAGCTCCTTCACCGTTTCCGGCCGGAAAGCGTTCCTCCTCTCGGGTCGGTTGATCGTGATCTGACGGTCAGGATTGCGGGAGGGTGTTGAGGTGGTTATCAGGCGATCCTCTTAGACGACGAATGGCGACACTTTTCCTAGTAATACCACTGTGGCACTCCCTTCACGAATGCACGTCCCTTGGTATACAGTTTTCCAAAGGAGGCAGCACATCGGTTATACCTTGGCGATCCCCTCTCCAACGGCCGTCTCGTAAAGAACGTCTTGGAGCGGAGGCCCCTCGATGCGACCCGGCTGCCACACTACCGGCGCGCTCGACACCTCGCCGTGCATTAACGCATACTTAGACGGCTTTCCTGTGGCTGAAGCATACACGCCGGTCGCGCCGCTGCGATCGCTGTTGTTACTGCAGGGTTGCAGGTTCAGCTGGGACTCGTTGTAAGCAGCCTCGTTATTGGTGGTTTCTGGAGGGGTCGAATAGGCGGGTGCGATATGGCGACCGTAAACCTGAAGTCGCCGCAGCGCTTGATCGCGATCCATTTCTCCGTCGAGGCTGAACCTAGCAGCCGCAGGGGAAATAACGTGCAATGCGATCAAATGGACCACCAGAAGCAAATGAATTCTGCAGCGTAAGAGTTTCAGGCTAACACAGAATATTTGGCTGCTTCGGCAAGGTGGAAGGAAATCCGCGAGGACGAATTTCTGGATAAGGTCGGTTGCTCGTTGGATAAGGGAAACGAAGTCAGGAGATTTTCTAGGGGAAACAGATCGGTTTGTCACGGTCCTTGAGTTTTTGAAAAAAAATAGGTTCGGTTGTATTGGCTGGGTTGTGAAAATGGTTGGGATTGGTTGTATTGGTTTGGTTGTATTGATTGATTGGGATTGGCGCACTGTACCCTCTTCCTAGATTCTGGGCCAGAAGGGTCCGCCGCGCTTGGGACCACAATTTACCGTACCCTCTAAATACTAACGCGCTTCAACCAGGAGTAAGGGAGATCAGGTTTTAAATTAAGAAGAAAATTCATCTCGGGTGTATTGATGAAAAAATCATGCGAAAAAAATCATGACAGCATAGAGAATTCAATCCACTCATGAATTCTATGTAGCTCCTTCAACTGACATCGGTTTCCCTTTGTATGGAAAATTCCTTTTCCTTACTTCGCGTCCCTGCTCAGCGCGTACACCATTGTATCATCACAGTCAGCACCGTTACCACTCGCAACCCTCACATCGACAATCCTCCCGCCACCTTCGCACGTCGCACCCCGACCTCACGGCTCGGCGGGTAACCCGCGCTTCGGGCCTCCGCTTCGACATTTTCCCAACCTCAGTTCCAGGCCCGTCGCAGGTCAACCACAGTTTATACCCGTTACCACTGTAGTTTCGCTATATATTCTTCGCTCATGCCTTCGTTCATTGAACTCTTGCTTCGATAGTGCAATTCTCGTTCAATCACTCAATTGCACTCGTAACACTTGGTATTCAGAGCCTACGATCTCTTCTCGGACCGCACCCACACCTTCGCTTCCCCACTATCTCAATTTTCTGGGGGGGTAGACGCCTCTCAGCGACACAACACCGCCGCTCGTAGTGCTCTCTCGTAAGCACGCACGGCCACGACAGAGGCTCTCGCTGAGCTTGTCCTGTCAGAGGTCCACTGGTGATCCCCGATTGATCCTAGGGAAGGGTTACAGGCTCGTTGTCCTGGGGGGTTATGGGCGCACTAACCCGCTACTTAACAAGCCCTTTTATCCCAATGGTCTAGTGGTTGGGATTCTGACATGGTATCTGAGCAAAGGTCACGGGTTCGAATCCCAGTGTGTGCACTTCGGGCATCCCAGTGCGGGGGGGTGTCAGAGGTCCACTGGTGATCCCCGATTGATCCTAGGGAAGGGTTACAGGCTCGTTGTCCTGGGGGGTTATGGGCGCACTGACCCGCTACTTAACAAGCCCTTTTATCCCAATGGTCTAGTGGTTGGGATTCTGACATGTCCGACACCCTCGCCATGGTCGAATTTACCCTCGCGACATTGACGCAGGAGCAACTCGACCGGCTCGTGCGCCAAGTCGAAGAATCGGCGCTCGAAATTGCGACGCTCACGGCGGAACGTGACTCCGTGCGTCAGCAATCCACGATGAATACTCCGGCGCCGCCACACGCACCTGCAAATATACCTGCACAATCGGAGGAACCGATCGTCATTTCATCAGGCACACCGACACAGAACGACAGCGTGGGACAGCGCTCAGGCGCAGCCAGTGATGGCGCCGCCCACTCGATGCCGGGCATGGAGAGGAACAGAGTCGAGCCAAGCCCACGGGAGCCTCATGAAGCCCGTCGGCACGTGGAATTTGCGGCGATAAGTGGCGACCACGCCATCATGACGCCAATGACACTGAAGCCGCAGCGCCCGCCCTGTTTCGACCCGAGTCAGCACGGAGGTCCGACGGTTCAGTCGTGGATCTTCACGAGGAACGTATTCTTCGACGCAAACTACGTCGAGTCGGACGCAGCGAAGATCAGATACGCCGTCTCGCTGCTGAGGGGCCCCGCCATGGACTGGTGGCGAGTCATCGTGACGTTGCCACGCGCCTACGAGCCACCGTCGCAAGAGGAAGGGCCCACGGGTCCAGCCGTCACCTGGAGTTCATTCTGCGAAACCGCCCAGTACAGCACGTGAGATGCGTGGTGCGCAGGGCTTCGGGCGCGCTTCGAACCGATCGCGGCTTCTATTTCGGCGCGTCAGAAACTGCGTACTTGGCGGCAGCTCGGGTCGGTTCAAGACTATACGAGCGGTTTTCTCGCATTGTGCGAGCAAGTCGGCTATATGCACGAAGCGGAGCGGGTGGACCGTTACGTCGGAGGGCTGAAGCCGGACATTTCGCACGAAATCATGCTACGCGGACCCTCGAACTTCAACGAGATTCTCGCGCTCGCCAAGAAAATCGACATTTTGCGCCGTCCGAGACCGGGGTCCTACTACGGACATCGCCCTCAGGGACCGATCGAGCACGCCACCATACATGCCGTTGCGACAAATGCAGCTGTCGCGCCGTTTAGGGGGCGCTGATCTGCTTGCAATAGGCCGGGCCATCGCAAGAGTGAGTGCCCAGAGGAGCTGAGGCGCCGCGGAGCAGAGCAGGAGAAGGAGTCTCCAAGGCAGGGAAACGCCAGCAGACAGTAGGAATCGGGCCAACTACTGACGAGACTGCCTGCTCGCCCAACCCCACCGACCCTCACCGAGTCACAGTACCGATTCATGCTATCGATCGGGCTCGGACGAATAAGGAGGGTACAGTGACGGATTGCCTAGTACTGATCCACGGGAAAATACAGGGAGCAGCAGTGAAGATTTTTATCGACGGAGGAGCAAGTCATAGTTTAATTAATACCGCAACCGCACGGAAACTGCAACTGACACTCAGCCGCTTTTTACCTGAGATAGATACACGCTTAGTTGACGGCACGCCAGTGGCCATTCGGGAAGGTGGAGATGTTAGAGTCTAGAATAGAACGAGAATGGATGAAACTAGGTAGGAGGGGGATACAAGTAGGAAACCCTAACAAAGCTGTACCCCCTAAGGCTAAACCCACTATAGCCTACACAATATAAACATATAATGTTTGACACACCCCCATAGGCTAAGTGGGAGACAACCAGATGGTCACAAGACCAGTCAAAGCAAAGCAAAGCAAGCTCAGGGTGGATCTCAAGGAAACCACACAAATTCTGAGCACAAGCAAGTGGTCACAAGACCAGTTCACATGCAGGTTGATAGTATAACAAGAGATACAGTGATCACAACCTAGCAAGAGTAAACAAGCAGGTATATATACAGAGATCACAGTACAAGCAGAGTCAAGAAGTAAGCAAGTGAGGCCCAGTAGGCACGAGGCCTAGAACAGTACAGAAGCGCTGATGGTCACAAGGCTGAAGCGCCTTGGTGAACACATCAGCAGTGTTGGCCCGAGTGGCCACGTAACGCAGACGCAGCTGACCGCGCTGCTGCAGCTCTCGAGCAAGGAAGTAGCGCAGAGCGATATGCTTCGTTCTGTGCTCCAGTCTGTGCTCCTCACACAAGGCAATGGCAGCCTTGTTGTCGACGTACAGCACTGGAGGAGAACGAGGCCGCTCTCCCAAGTCGGTCAGCAGGTAGGTGAGCCAGCGTAACTCCTGTGCAGCCATGGCTGTGGCGTAGATCTCAGCCTCACAACTGAAGCTGAGAACAGAAGACGAGCGTGTAGAACGCCAAGAAACTGAACCAGAGCCAAGGCTGAAGGTGTAACCCTGAGACGACCGCTGAGTAGCCTGGTCGTCAGCCCAAGACGCGTCTCAGTGCCCAGTGAGTACAACTCGGTCTCGTCCTCCAAGCACTAGCCCCATGCCCGACGTACTGCACAAGTAGCGCAACACCCTCTTAGCGGCATCCATGTGCTCCTTCCGGTGACGGCCAGGAGCGACATAGCGTGCAAGGATGCTAAGAGGGTATGCAAGGTCAGGTCGAGTGCAGGTCATCAGGTACATGAGGCAGCCCACAAGCTCTGGATACGGGCCACTCGGCTCTACGGACTCATCCGAAGGCAGAGCTGAGAGCGAGTGACCGGTAGGCAGAGGAGTGGGTTGAGGCGAGGAGTACGTGAAGCGGAAGCGCTGAAGGACCTGCTGCACCATGTGTGACTGAGTCAAGGTGATGGTGCGCCGTGCTCTGTCCCGGGTGATCCGCAAGCCAAGATAGCTTGTCAATTCACCCAGGTCTGTGCACGTGTGTCTCTTCTGCAGCTCCGACTTCACGTGGGCGAGTGCCGCAGTGTCAGCAGTGGCAAAGACCAAGTCGTCGACGTACACGAGGATGTAGAACGGCGGCAGCGAGGTGTCGGTGCGTAGAAACAGCGACGGGTCAGCAGTAGAAGGAGCGAACCCAAGAGCCGCAAGTGTAGTCCTCAGTGTGTCGTGCCACTCACGTGGCGCCTGTCGGAGACCGTAGACTGGCCGCCGGAGGCTCCACTGGGTACCAGGAGGGAACGACCCAGTGAAGCCAGGTGGGCGGCGCAGCCAGATCTCCTCGTGCAGGCTGCCCTGTAGGAAAGCAGTGCTGAAGTCAAGAGAGTGGAGCTCGTAGTCACGCTGAGCGGCGACGTGCAGCAGAACCCGAAGAGTGGTCATCTTCGGGGTCGGGGAGAAGGTCTGGAAGAAGTCAACTCCCTCTCGCTGACTGAAGCCTCGTGCAACGTAACGCGCCTTGAAGACAGGCGGAGAACCCGGCGGCCGCTTCACCCTGAAAATCCACATGCCACTGACGATGTTCGCCCCAGGTGGGGGAACCTCGTCGACGTAGGTGCCTGTGGACTTCCAGAAAGCCATCTCTGCGTCCATGGCTGTCTGCCACTGAGAGGAGTAGGGACCCTCTATCGCCTCTGCGTAAGAGCGCGGAGTCGGGATGTCTGGTGCATCCGGGTCTCCCTCAGGGGCAACTAGCATGGACACGAGATGAGGTAAAGCAGCGGCAAAGCACTCAAACTCCTCCTGCCTGTCCTCAAG